TAAATGGGACATGAAACAAAACTGAACTCGAAGAACAAACACTTACTCTGAACACGACGACCATAACTGGGAAACATATGACAACGATCCGACAAGGACTGCAAACAAGAGGAGACTTAAAAAGGGAACAAATCAAGAGGGAACAGGTGGAAGAACTCAAACACTAATCAGGTAACAAGGGGGAGGGATCAAACAATAACGAGAGCACATGCTCCAACATAACAAAGACACCCAAGTGTAATACAAGACAGGACAGACACGTGACATTACCCCCTCCCTACGGAGCGGCTACCAGACGCTCCATCAGGCGGGACAGACCAGGGCGGGACGGGCGGGACAGACAAGGGCGGGACGGGAGGGACAAAGCGTTTAGTCCTGGGTGACCCGGGCGAAAAACAAAGTCCATGGGGCGGCCAGGGCGGAGCAGATCTCTCGGGTGGCCAGGGCGGAGCAGAACCCTCGGGCGGCCAGGGCAAAGCAGACCCCTCGGGCGGCCAGGGCGGAGCAGACCCCTCGGGCGGCCAGGGCGGTGAAGACCCCTCGGGCGGCCAGGGCGGAGCAGAACCCTCGGGCGGCCAGGGCGGTGAAGACCCTCGGGCGGCCAGGGCGGTGAAGACCCCTCGGGCGGCCAGGGCGGTGAAGACCCCTCGGGCGGCGAAGACCCCTCGGGCGGCCAGGGCGGTGAAGACCCCTCGGGCGGCCAGGGCGGTGAAGACCCCTCGGGCGGCCAGGGCGGAGCAGAACCCTCGGGCGGCCAGGGCGGAGCAGAACCCTCGGGCGGCCAGGGCGGCGAAGACCCCTCGGGCGTCCAGGGAGGAGCAGAACCCTCGGGCGGCCAGGGCGGTGAAGACCCCTCGGGCGGCCAGGGCGGTGAAGACCCCTCGGGCGGCCAGGGCGGAGATGCATTTTGGGCAGCAGACACCGGCTCGGGAACAGACACCGGTTCGGGAACAGGCAGTGGCTCAGGAACAGGCACTGGCTCTGCCTCCGGCTCTGGAACAGCAGCCACTGACTCAGGAACTGCCGACACCGGTTCAGGAACAGCCACTAAAACAGAAATGGTCACAAGGACAGATACAAATACAGAAGCAAACACTGGGTCCGGAACCGACAGGGGCTCCAGCTCTGGAATCGGCACTGGCTCTGCCTCCGGCTCCGGCTCCGGCTCTGGAACAGGCACTGGCTCTGCCCCCGGCTCTGGAACAGGCACTGGCTCTGCCCCCAACTCTGGAACAGGCACTGGCTCTGCCAGTGGGACGTGGACAGTCTCTCGCTGGGCAGACGGGACGTGTACAGTCTCTCGCTGGGCAGACGGGACGTGGACAGTCTCTCGCTGGGCAGACGGGACGTGGACAGTCTCTCGCTGGGCAGACGGGACGTGGACAGTCTCTCGCTGGGCAGACAGGCGTTTCCTCCTTTTCCGTCCGTGACAGCGAGAAGTTGGCTCTGAGCTGTTCCTCACTGGCCCAGGATCGAAGGGGGGCCAGGATGGAGAGTGATGTTGAACCTCTTCTCGACCACCTCCTCCTCCTCTACGACCTCCCCGGGTCCCACGAAAAATGACCAGGCGGGTCCCCTGAAAAACTCTCCTCTCCCGCTCCGTAGCTGGGGAAGAGAAGTTCGAAAACCCACCGCTGGAACCAGGGTTTGACGAAGTCCTTCTGTCACCACAGATAGAGGAGAATTGGGTCGATCCAAATGTAGCGATAGTGTAGTCCGGGCAATCCAAGTCATTGTCGTCCATGCAAGCATCATAATCCAACCACTCAAAATCCTTGTCATCCATACTGCTGAGTCCTCAAATGGTCGGATCGTTCTGTCACGGAACAGTTACAAAAAGTGGAGGGAGGACTCAAGTGCAGAAAAGGATGATTTATTTACAAAAGAAAACAAAACACAAAGCAAAAACCCACAAGGGGGAAAACACCATAAATGGGACATGAAACAAAACTGAACTCGAAGAACAAACACTTACTCTGAACACGACGACCATAACTGGGAAACATATGACAACGATCCGACAAGGACTGCAAACAAGAGGAGACTTAAAAAGGGAACAAATCAAGAGGGAACAGGTGGAAGAACTCAAACACTAATCAGGTAACAAGGGGGAGGGATCAAACAATAACGAGAGCACATGCTCCAACATAACAAAGACACCCAAGTGTAATACAAGACAGGACAGACACATGACACCTGCAATTTATAAACATTAATGATGGAATTTAAAGAAATAAAACACACTTTCCTATGCATTATATTTAGTGATGCATCCAAAGTTATTTTCTACCAAAGCAGTGATTAACATTTTCATTTAGACGCAAACCGAAACCTGAAATTAATCACATTTATTTAATAATCAACAGCAGTTGCGTTATTTAAATAGCACTTAACGATTTTAATTATATAATTTAACTTGTACTCCGATACATAGTTGAAATGTAAACATTAAACCATTGCAATAAGAAAAGAAAATTGACATATTTTTCCAGACATACTTTAAAAAAAGACAACCGGTGAAGTAAAAATAAATGCAATAGTGCATATAAAATGCTCCTCTGCTCGCTTGTTATTTTTTTCTAGCCAACTAAAAAATGGTGGACATTGAATCATTTTTCTGAGGTAAATAAAATGTGACATGACACGTTCACAAGCTGTTTTATTGACATCTTTCCGCAGTTAAAACACAGATTGTGCGATTCCATGAAACATGAAACTAGTTTAGTGAGAGATACTCATTTTACTAAGTTGTTCTGCCTCTTTCAACATAACTTCAGATGTCCATTCATGTTTATTTGGTGCTAGAACTAGTAGAAAAGAGAAGGAGGTGATCGGTTTATTGTTTTAATTTTGTCAGAAAGTTTACAGAATTTGAAACACCAGACTATATTTCATATCAAAAGTAACTGTTAAGGCAAAAATTCAATGAAAAGACATCACCGCGTAAGAGACACTCAGAGTCAAATTAATAAAGAAAGATAAGTTTATTATAAAGGAAAGACAAATTACCTCCTTCACGGATAGCAAAACCATAAGCCATTCCTCTGTTATTATATAGATCAAGGTTATGACAGATGCCAGAGGTGGTGTGAATCCAGTATGGAACTGGTCCAGATCTGGCCCACCTTTGGGCCAAATAACTAAAATAATTCTCATCCGTTCTGGAGCTGGGCCAGTGCCGGCCCAGATGTGAAAACCGGATCTGCACCGGCATTGGCCCGTTGTGCTAAAGGACACCGGCTCGGGTCCGTTTTACAGATCTGGCCCAGAACTTATGAATGTTCTGGGCCTGATCTGGGCCGCATGATTTTTGTTATCTGGGTATAAAGGAGGTGAACAGATAATATAAAATATCGAAACATAAGGCCCAATAATCATATGTAATACATGTGAGATTAAAGTTTCCCCAACAAAAGCTAAATGTAGATCTACATTTGGGGAGCGATCTTTTTCTTTCCTAGGATGGTGAGGGAACAGTCCTAAATGCCATTAACCCCAGTGACGGGTAGGTTTAGGGACGGGGTTGAGGTAAGTCATATATTTATATATACAGTAATAACGTTAAGTCAACGGTGTTCATAAACACGCTGAAAAGCGATTATGCGTGTTGATAGCACGCCAAAAATGGAAATACGAATTGGCGTGTCATACACACGCTACTTCATGAGATCAGTCTGAAATATAAGACGTGCGTACGAGCTCGGATCCTCTAAATGCCTATTTCTAAAGTGTGTTATAGCTATAACCGCATCATCTGTGCTTCTATTGCTCCTGTGTGCACACTGAAATGGGTCTGATAGAGCACTGACCTCTGTTTTTACTAAATGAATCATCATTTTCTCCAAACACTTCATTACTGTTGAGTGAGCGCTACTGGAGGATCATCATTGTTCTCCTCACAGCAAAGCTTGTTTGGGACAGGGATAATAGTGGAGCTCTTCCACATTGAGGAACTGTGTGTGTGTCTATAGATGTCTGATCAATAGTAAAGCTCTTCTACTGCAAGATTTCAGTGTCCGCCCAGAGACGCGTCTGGCCTTGTTAGGACACACATGTGGACACAGTCTCTCCACCATATGCGGGTCAATGAGTGTTTTAGGAGAATCCAGTTCAGACGAGACATCCAGTGCAGTTTCTGCTCCTGTGAGAAGTCTCTGACGGCAAACCTACAATAAACATCGCTCAACTCATTCGCCTTTGCCCCCTCATCTCTCACATTGATAGATCTTCTGGCTGGAGTCATATTTGTCATATATTTCAGAGAATCCCACAGTTTTCTGGTGATCATAGTCCAACAGCGGAGCTCAAATGTGTCCGTCTCCTTCCTCCCAGCTAACAGGGAACGTTCCCAGAACATTCACTAACGCTCTTTAAAACTTGTGGAAATGTTAGTATGTTTAAAAAAGAAACGTTTAAAAAGAGAAAACGTTCCTAGATGGAGCTGTGTGGAGGCGCTTGTGGAGCAGAGAGCACAACACTGAGATGAAGGAGCGGCGGACACTGTTCAGCCCAGTAGAAGACATGCTTTACGCCAGCGAGACCAGTACAGTTGAGTTGCTGAACCAGAAGCCCTGGACAACCCTTTGACCAACAGCTGGAGACAATAGTAGACCGCTAGAGGTCGCACACACACTTTATTAGCACTTCTGAAGCCTGTTTTGAGGGATTTATTGTTGTGAATTCATTATTTGTCTGAACTCGCTACAGATACAAGAAGTTCCTGAGTGATCTACGGGTTCTCTACGATCCACGTGAGAGTTTGGCTCTCAGCTATAGGAGAGACTTGCTAACACGCGGCCACCAAACACACAACTATGTGGAGATGCAGTGTGTGTTTTAAAAGACTAAATACTTCACAGGACAAAAGCATTCAAGATCCCTCCATTATTCCAGCTTTTCATCCCCGACTAGAGATGATCTATGAGGCGCGAGTGACAGTCTTTCAGAGACTTTGAGCTTTGGAAGTTTGCAGATCTTAGACATGCAAGAAGGACATTTCATTTATTTTGTAACGTTTTTATTGAGCATATATTATAAAGCACATTTACACATTTACTCCATCACCCCTCTGAGCCGTGAGCGGCACAAGCAGGAGCCCTATGTTTGAGGATCTCAGTGACCTTTCAACTGTACAAGGGCCGTGATACAGGTCGGGGCCGGCCCATTAAGTGCCTTAAAAACAGAAAATACAACTCTGAACTGAATCCTAAAAACAACTGGGACCAGTGCAAGCGGCCAGAATGGGGAGATGAACAGCTTCATAACACACTAAAGAAAAAGAAAACATGAAAACACATCATATGACCCCTTTAATACATTAATACAAGTGTAATGCAGCTATTAAAAACATGATTATACACTCAAGCTTCCATTGTTTCCCAAAAATGAGCTTGAACTGTTTTTTCTTCATAATTATGAAAATGAATCTTTCATTACTGTTTGTCTCCCTCTGCTGGTTCAACACAAACACATTCAGGATCTATATTTACATTTTTGAGTTTATACTGTGCATTTATACAAATAAAAAGGTTAATCTATGAATGAGAAAGTGTAATTTGCTGTGAAATAAAAGGTGTTTCACTGCCGCCTCATCAGGTCTGTCAGAGGATGGTTGAAATCTAAATGAAGTCTTAATTTCTAACAGTGAAGTCACTGTATCTTCAGTCTCTGTTGATTCTGTTGACTGTGAGTCTCTGTAGTGGATCCTTATTCACCATCAGATGATCAGCAGAACATCAGACTGTCATCTATAACTAAAATAAAACACACACACAGTCACATATGCAGTATGAGATATTACATCTGTCACATCTTTACATAAGAAAACTAACTAGATAATCTATATTAATTCCTTCTCCAACATGATAATATAGCTTCTATCTGATGCTCAAAGACACTTTACAAAATCAAAAGCACATGAAAGGTCACTTTCACACAACGGACAGCTGATCCAGAACCAGCAGAAATCATCATTACACTCACTACAGATTTAATATCAGTTAATAACAACCCAAATCTCAGATTGTCACACACATAAGGCGTCTTTACACAGAAAAAGCGGCACAGAAACCACAGGCGTCACTTTTGTTAGCGTGTCAGGCAGGTCGTGTGTGTGTGTGTGTGTGATTACACACGTCGATATGTGTTGTCTTCCGCTTCTTGACTCTCGCACCGCGCGTTTGGTTGTCATGACAATGGGGTAGTTTAGAGCGGCATAAGTTGGCGCTCATTTACACTGAACCAAAACAATATCAGAGTCATCTTTGACACTAGCGGCTGAGGCGGGTCAGGCCGGCATATTCTCAGTTTGCTTTTATGCGGCATTGTGTCTTTACACAGAACTTTGAGCAGACACAGAGCCGCTTTAGAGCAGCCTTAACTCGGCTGTGTAAAGATGCCTATAGAGACAGTTCAAGGGGTAAAGAGGAAAATAACATTCATATTATACTCCACAATCAGTCACAACAGTATGAGCAGAATTACACTCATATTAAACAGTTTAAAGTTCAGAGACCGACAGAAACTGAAGCTGAATTTAAGACTCATTATCTGATGATCTCAGACACAATCTCCATACATACAAACACACGCACACACAGTGTTACTGAACCAGAACCTTTACTTGTATTTCTAGCAAGAAATACAGCCATTTAAACTTTGGGCCAATCCCAATTCTACCCCTTACCCCTTCACTTTCCCCTTCCCCTCCGTTTTGCGCGTCCACGTGAAGGGGTAGGGCTGTCCCAATTCTCTTTTGGTTGGAGGGGGAGGGCTAGGGTGAAGGGCCAGATAGCCCTTCAAACGAAGATTTTTCAGGAGCACACTTCAAACGAAGGGGTATGAGAAGTGTCACTGCTAACCCAGGCTGGCTGCCCAAGCGACAAAGGAGACCCATAAATTTAAGTATTTGTGGCTTTAATAAGTATTATAACGACAAATAATGATTTGCTTTATGTTACATTCAATATTGTGTTCATATTTACGGTCAGTTTCTTCACAGAAACGTTTGTAAAAAAAAAAAAAAAAAAAAAAAAAAATCGCTAAAATTACTGTAGTTTGCTAACGATAGTCCCGAAACATATTTTCGTCGTCTCCATTGTTTCCTGCGAACTTCACAAGATGCAAGAAAATAGCTGTAACCCACGCGACTGAGATAACTGCAGCTGTCGACGGGATCTTGGAAGTTGTGATAAACATCGGCGCATATCCTGTGACGTAGGCGCTAGCGACGACTTATAATGACGTTTAACGGAGGCGTAGCGGTGTCCCATTTCTTAGGGGAATATTTTCACCCCTACGCATTGCCACTCTGTTTCAAGGGTCAAGGGGAAGGCGAAGGGGTAGGGCTAGGGGAAAGGGAAGGGGTAAGGGGTAGAATTGGGATTGGCCCTTAAAATGAAAATCTGATGATGAAATTCGTTAAGAATTATTCTTACTCTAGTGTCTCCAGTTTATAATGTGGATCATCCCTCAGATCCTCCAGCTGCTTCACTCCTGAGTCTCCTAGTTTATTATTAGACAGATTCAGATCTCTCAGGTGTGAGGGGTTTGATCTCAGAGCTGAAGCCAGAGCAACACAACCTTCATCTGTGACTCCACAATCCATCAACCTGTAGAGAACAATGACACACATTAAGCCTATATCCAGAGATAAACACAACACTTAAACTATAAATAACATAATGCTGTCAATATGAAATATGTACAAATACTCATCAGTTCACTTTGTTAAATTACATCAGTTAGGATTAGGGTATTTAATATACAGTTTAAAAATCATTATTTCTATGTAAAGTCCTCATAAAACATGGAAACCCAACGTGTGTGTGTGCGTGCGTGTCCGTGTGTGTGTGTGTGTGTGTGCGTGTGGTTAATGTATTTGTAAAAACTAATCACTTTAGGTGTGTCATTTAATAAGGCCTATACAAATATCTCTGCATGAACTATATATTGGCACACAGTGTAAACAGTGGTGGAGTGTGTGAAACAGAAATCTCTTTATTTCAACAGAAACATGAGTGTAACTATATACTGGACTGTTTCAGTGCCTACAACACAACCAACACACTTTATTTGGCATTGTTAAAATTCTAAAAGAGGTGAATGTAATGAACAATAAAGAGTCATGAAAACACCTCTTTCAGCTCAAGTCTTCCTCACAATCGTTCTGAAAAGTCCTCTTAAATGTGTGTGTGACTATGAGGAAAACTGGAGGATTTTACAGCTGACAGTTCTACTCCTATCAAATCATTGAACACAATCTGTATTTCCCCTTTAACAGTATAAATGTTTATATACATTCACTATAAATGCATATATTTGATATTTTCTCATACAAATGTCATAAAACCGGTAGCGTAGATCACAAATCTCTGTATCTTCAGGACACTGACAATAAAGATGGAGAGTGACAGAGAAGACAGAAACTCTTATAGCTCTCCTCAGAAAAACGCTTGTTACACACACACACAGTTTGATTGTGTCGGTAGTTTCTAACCAAACGCCCGCAGCGAGTCTCGGCCTGACACATCACGGGGGAAGCCTGACACACCTCAGCTCTTACACCATGGGGACACACACACACACTTGCGACCCATGAACGCCTTTCTAAACTACTGCGGGATTTTACAGTTTGAAGCGTCTGTCACAGAAAAACGTCTCGGTTACAGATGTAACCCTCGTTCACTGAGTAGGGAACGGAGATGTTACGTCAGAAGTGACGGAGAATGGGGGTTTCGCACAGAAAGCCAATCCTCTTCGAGTATTTAAAAACGAGCCAATGGCATGAAAATGCCTTGGGTCTGCGGAATTTGCATAGCGTATCTCCGCCCCACCTCGTGGGTATAAAAGGAGGAAGTGAACGCAACCGCAGTATGTCTTCGCTGAGGAGCCAAAACTGAACTCAGGCGTGTACCCAGCGGTACAGCGGAAGTGGCAGGGAGACGTTATGTCTCCGTTCCCTACTCAGGGAACGAGGGTTACATCCGTAACCGAGACATTCCCTTTCGTAGTCACTCCCAGTTACGTCGGAATGACGGAGAATGGGGGTCTGTGCCATCATGCCACCTTCACAGCTGTCTTCCAGTGCCCTGCGCAAGACCGAACTCCAAACGACTTAGCTCTGAGGAGTTCTATCCAACACAGGAATACCAAGGGACACTGGGGAGCATATCCCGGGGGGGATATGTCACAGTATGCCTACCCAAGGGGAGGACTTAAGAATACACATATGGCCCGAGGGGCTTCATATGGGGGAATCACTGGAGTCAACCTGCCGGTGGCTAGAACTTAGCTCCAGGAATGGCAGATGGCTTGCCGAGGGAAGACACATGCTCAGAGAGGCTTACAGTGGATAATACACATGTGACAGCTACCGTAGGGAGCCGTACACACGGAGGCACCTAGCCGACGACCCAGTAATACTCTGGCGCCAGCGTCAGAAGTGCTGGAGGACTCAGGGCTTCAACAGAAGGCTCAGCTGAGGAAGTATCGCACTTATCCAGTCCGTGGAGTGGAATGGCGAGCAAGCGAAGACACCTGAGCGGGTCCAGTACTGGCCGGTTGAGCGAGTACAAGAGAGCACACAGGCTCCACTCTGAAGTTATAGAATCTCGCGAAGGTGTTTGGTGTCGCCCAGCCTGCAGCTCTGCAGATGCCTGCTAGCGAGGCGCCATGCGCTAGAGCCCAAGAGGAAGCCACACTCCGAGTGGAGTGGGCCGTCACAACTAGGGATGGGTACCGAAACCCGGTATTAAACGGGCCCCGGTGCTGAATTTTGAAAGACTGCTGTATCGATAAGCTCGGACGTTATCGGTTCTGCTGTCGGTACTGGAGAAATTAAGTAAATACACGTAGGTTACAATTTATTCCTATAAAGACGTTATCTTGAACATGTTTATCTCGCCAGCCATTTCTATATATAAACTTTATTTTAATTAAACCATTTGTCTGTGATGCAAATTTGCTATTCGCAGTTCAGAAGAGAGAGAGAAAAGAGAGAGCGATCTCTCACGCGGAGCCGCAGCACGCGCAACACGACAGCCCTGCTTAATGAGTGACAATAAGGACAGAACAAAACATTCAAACGAGGTTACACTTTAGATCTGGGATATTATTCTAATGTTATTTTAGATTTCGGCTTCCAAAGATTATAAGAAGATATTTGAGATACACCCGTTAAAAACAAGTAACATTATCTGTCCAGCGCAACTTCCTTCACTTCACAGCACTGCGCTGTCAGTTCTTCCTAAACCCAAACGTGCCGTTAGAATCAGCACGATCGGCATTTGTTGCAAAATGCTGTCTCTACTGTTGCTAGATCATAAAATGCCTATTAAAAACACAAAAACCTGCGCAAGAGACGCTGTTCACAAGGCGGTGCGCGCTCCGAAATAAGAAGACTAGCCTATTTGGGCTTTGTGTGTCCTAAACTATCAAATATACATAAAAATGTCAAAATGACCAGCTCTGAGATTCACTTAAACACAATTATGTCTTAAATGGACGTAAATAATAGGGAGAAAATGATGGTGCTTCAGTTACCGGTTAGATTTGCTCTCGGTCTTAAAGGGGCAGCAGTCTAATAAATCTGCTGACGATTCAGCCATTAATGCAAATCAAACAACAAAAGCACTTGAATGAGCAACTTTAGATTTAATAAGCATTAATCTATCTATGATAAACTATAGAGTGCTATTTTACATTTGATTACTAAATTAGATTTATTTTCAGACAGAATATATTACCTAAAAAGTAATGGACCTTCCTGAAATTAAAGCACTGTGTATATAATTTGTATCTTTGATTAATTGTATCCTATCTTTTGTATATAAAACAATAAGCATTACTTTTTTAATTTTTTTTTACATTTCAAAATATAAAGTTAATTATGTTCTTAATTCTTAAAAAACAAAAAAAACAAAAAAACAAACAAAAAAGAACCGATAAGAATACCGTTAAAGTACCGGATCGATAAGCAGTATCGGTAAGAGTAGTAATACAGATAAAACCTTAACGATACCCATCCCTAGTCACAACAAGGGGGCTGGTAAGCTAAAGCAGCACACCTTGCTGCTGGTAAGCTAAAGCGATGGTGTCCACTACCAGTGAGACAGCCGCTACTTAGAGAGAGCCCTTCCCTTCTGGCTCCCCCATGACAGACAAAGAGCTGGTCTGAGGTCCTGAAACACCGCGTTCTGTCCACATAAGTATGGAGTGCCCGTACCGGACAGAGCAGTGCCAAGGCTGGGTATGCCTCCTCCAGGGTCTCTTACCGGATCTCTTAGCGCGGTGTGTTAACAGTGTTGCTTGATCGAGATCGGCTCGCGCTGCACAGATGTTGCTGGTCTGAACTGATAAACGATCCGTGAAGCACATAATGAGTAGCGCAGTTTCGTTCCGCTTTCATTCGCTTGCCATTACATGTTGCGCAACGTTGTGTTGGCCGCGCCAGCACGAATTTTGCCGGCAGGAAAAATTATCCAAGCAATCGTTCGGTTTATATGCGTACCGAACCGGAAGCCTCGAACCGAAACGGTTCAATACGAATACATGTACCGTTACACCCCTAGTAATAATAGTTATTTCCCTGAATTTTATTCCATTTGATTATACTTTATGAATTCACAGTGACAGTTTAATGTGAGGGTTGTGTATGATCTTACCACAGTGTCTCCAGTTTACAGTGAGGATTCGCCAATAGATCAGAAAGCTGCTTCACTCCTGAGTCTCCTAGTTTATTATATGACAGATTCAGTTCTCTCAGGTGTGAGGGGTTTGATCTCAGAGCTGAAGCCAGAGCAACACAACCTTCATCTGTGACTCCACAATCCCATAACCTGTAGAGAACAATGACACACATTAAGCCTATATCCAGAGATAAACACAACACTTAAACTATAAATAACACAGGCAAGGCAAGTTTATTTATATATTATTTAAACTATGGCAATTCGAAGTGCTTTACATAGAGAGGAAATAATCACAAAATAAATGCAAGGAAAATTCAAACAGTAATTCAAAAGCTTTACATAGAAAGGAATCAGCAATTCATAGAGCTTTGCATAGAAAATAGACAAAATAAAAGCATGTTTAATAATGTATTTCTAAGCATTTTAAGGAACGTGTGTGTCTGTGTTAGGGCTGGGAGAAAAAAAGACTATTCACTAAACTATCTACATTTTTTTGATTATGATTTTAAAATAGATTTTTTTTATTCCAGAATTGATATTGATTCAAATTAAATTGCTTTATTGTTGTCGTTGCTTATAGACGAGGTTGACAGAAGTTCGCCACTCTTGCTCCAACAGAGGATGAAACGTGTCGTTATCTATGAGTGTCGTAATATAAGACTTAAGACAGTAGAGCTGCACGATTCATCTTTAAAATACTGTGATCTCCATTCAAACACACACACAAGATCTTCTTCCAATTCCTCTGTCTATTAAACCTTTAACCAAATCATACAGCGGTGGATCAGTTATTCACTGTGCAAACGCATCATAATATGTGAATGCACTAACAGCACGCTCCTGCACCGCAACACACACTGCAAACGGGTGTGAAACAGACGTTAGATCCACTACAGTTCTGAGAAACTTAGATGTGTTTTACAACTCTTTTTTTCGTACAACAGCAGCACTCATCTTCTTTTTTTATTAGTGGATGCGGATGACCAGTCGTAGACCGGAAACTGATACGCCAACTTCTGACAAAAGCGGAAGTTCGAAACTACGGTTGTGCACATAGCCTATTGGATTTTCAGGTGAGATTCTCAATTCATTCAGTTAACGGATGCTCTGAAATCACTTCATACGTTTTCTGTATCCGATCTTGAAAAGACCAGGTGTAAATGCCGTCCGAAACGCATTCGAGACGGATTTGAATCCGATCACTCAAACCACATCAGGAAGTAGTCTGGGCTGCATTCCAGACGAAATGCATCTGGTTGTTGAAACCACATATGTAAATGTTACTACTCCCAAAAATGCTAAAAAATAAACGTGTGAGAGCGTGTTATAAGCCATGTGTCATGTTATTTTAGTCAGATATGACGGCGCTGCGACACGCATCACCTCAGATGAGCAGCTGAGCGCCTATCAAGCCAATGCGCTGCAATCTATCACAAATCAAAGTGAAAGTAAGTCGCAGACGATTAACACTACAATAAGTAAAAGTAAAGAAATGAACTGATCTTACCACGTTGCCGCTCTCTCTTATTGCTGTCTTTGCTGATTTTGAAATTAGCCGATGATCAATAAAATGCAGCTCATATCTGTTGCTTTCGGTGACGTGCACTTCATGAATTCTGTAGCCTATATAGCACGGGAATTGAAGATCAGATTATATCCGTTTTGCAAAAACACATGTATGTGACCAGCTGTAAATTGAATTGTTTTGATTAATTAGATAGCAATCCAATCTGAGAAAACGCATGAAGTGGCCAGGTATAAACGTGGCGCGGCGCGGCGCTTCTCGTTCAGTGTGCGACCCCCTTTACGGATGTGTATTTCCCTCATGTTAAATATAAAATGCATCTCTGATATTTTCCTAACGTCTGGATAAACAGACGTTTCAATATATTGGTTTTAAATGGCCCTTACAGTGCAATTCGACTACATCTGCGCTAAAATATCAAAGTGAAAGTCATCATAGCTTGCGTGGTGTAGTCAGCTCCATAGGTCAGCTCCCAACTCAACTGTGAGAATAGATTAACGGCGATATTTTTTTTTAATCGCCCGACAAGAGTCTCACGTTAACGCAGCACGTTAACGCCGATAACGGCCCACCCCTAATAATTACTATGTTGTTGTTTTTTTTGTTTTGTTTTTTTACAGTGGGTCATAATATATCATATCTTTTAGTTTATCAGTGCGTTTTGTGGTGTTAGGAACTTCTCTGCGCATTTCCGCCTCCACCTCCTGAGCTGGTGTAGGATTTGAGCGTGCCGTACGTCAACGTTGGACGTTTGGTGTATGCACTTTTGATAAATGAGGGCCACTGTGTTTTGTGGGATAATAATATAGTGCGATGTAAATGTTCCTCTTCAGGGAGACTCCTCACCGCTGTCTTCTACCGCCGGCAGGATCTGACGGTTCAAGCAGGAATCTGTCGCTGAACCACCGGATGGGGCTTACGCCAAACATATATTGTATACAGTATCTACATATTAATCCTTATTCACTCAGAGTCTTTATGGTAGAGATGATCTTACCCCAGCCTCTTCAGTTTACAGTGAGGATTCGCCAGTCCATCAGAAAGCTGCTTCACTCCTGAGTCTCCTAGTTTATTATATGACAGAATCAGTTCTCTCAGGTGTGAGGGGTTTGATCTCAGAGCTGAAGCCAGAGCAACACAACCTTCATCTGTGACTCCACACTCAATCAACCTGTAGTGAACAATGACACACATTAAGCCTATATCCAGAGATAAACACAACACTTAAACTATAAATAACATAGGCAAGGCAAGTTTATTTATATAGCACATTTCATACACTATGGCAGTTCAAAGTGCTTACAAAAAAAGGCAATAATCACAACATAAAAGCAAGGAAAATTCAAACAGTAATTTAAAAAAAAATCAGTATTTCTATGGAAAATCCCCATAAAACAGGGAAACCCAATGGTGTGTGTGTGTGTGTGTGTTTACTGTATTTGTAAACATTTAAAAGAACGTGTGTGTGTGTTAGGACTGGGAGAAAAAAAAGAAAGAAAAAAAAAAATCGATCCACATAACTATCACAATTTTCTGGTTAAACTGTGATAGTTATGTGGTTAAATTGAATTGCTTTATTTTTGTAAAAAATATTTTAAAAATTACTTATTTTACATTTTTTTTTGTTGCTTACAGACGAGGTTGACATAAGTTGGCCAATGAAACGTGTCGTTATCTATGATTGTCGTAATATCCTGTTCTGGTTGACGTGTGGAAGCGGCGTAAGACTGAATCACTGAAAAGCCCTTGCGCTACTCATATGCTGAGAGAGAGCGATAAGACAGTAGATCTGCACTATTCATCTTTAAAATACTGTGATCTCCATTCAAACACACACACACACACACACACACGATCTTCTTCCAGTTCCTCTGTCTATTGAACCTTTGATCAAATCATATCGCAACATTTTAAATCTGTGTTGGCGCTGCCGCTGACCCAGAAAGAGTTGTCATGAAACAGCTTAAATAGAAGTAATGGGATAAAAGTTTAAAGCTCAAATCTAAACACTGATGTCTAGCGATCAAAATAGAGGAAGTAAGATTTTGATAGAAACAATCATCAATACATACAATCAACAATAGATATCATATCGTATCGGCACCCAAATATCGTGATAATATCAAATCAGCAGATAGGTGCATCATCCCAGCCTAGTGTCTGTTTGCGTGTGTGTGTGTGTGTGTGTGTGAGTGAGCTTAATGTTTTGTAAACACTGAGAAAATTGCTTAAAGTTATTGAAACTTTAGAGTGATTGAGAAGCACAGATAAATGAACAATAAGGAACGGGACGTGCTTGATGATTTAAAGCACATTAGACACACAATGGCTTCTTGTGCCGCCTGTCAGTGTGTCCCGCTTCCTGCCGTTTGATTGGGCGAATACACACACAATTACGTAATGAACACACATCTTGCTTCTTGTGCGATCGCTCATTATTTGAATGACTTTTCACAACAGTTTGGAAATGATGTAATCGAGTCACATGACAATGGTAAGTGCTCGCGATCTTGTATATTAAGATATGAAGTATTTCTTATGGCCAGTTAGATTGGCATATGCTGTACTTCATGGATTTATGTATCATAAGTCTGAGGTGTTTTATCTGCACCATCATATTACAGAAAACTGCTGGTGTAATTATGCAGTTGTGGAGACCAATGATGATTCCACAGCAATACATGCATATACACTACAGTCAAGAGTTTGGGTCGGAATCGGAATGTTTAAGGTTTTTATAAGAAGACTCTTTTACTGCATTTATTTTTTTAGTTTGTCTCGACAAACTTTTTAATCTATTTTTTATTCTTTTGCTGCTTTTATTTGATTAAAGGTGCATTGCGCAACATTTCATGTTAAAAATAGCCGTTTTCTAACCCATACATGCTTAAACAATCGCCTGATGGGCTGAATGAGCCCTTCTCTGATCACTGAGATCGCCTCTATAATCCTGTACAGTAAAATAAATAAGAGGGATTCGGGCTCGAATTTGAGACTGGCCGTGACGTCATGCGCGTTCACGCTCGCCTCCGTATCAGAGAAGACAACTCTAGCAACACAACTTTAGTCAACTTTCCACAAAAGTAGACGATGGATTCAAAGGGTCTGTTTATACCTGGTCACTTCATGCGTTTTCTGTGATCGGATAGCTATTCGATCGTGAAAAGACCAGGGTGTAAATGCCCTCCGAAACGCATTCGAGACGGATGAATCCGATCGCTCAAATCACTTGAGGACGTGGTCTGGGCCTTTCTTATTGCTGTCTTTGCTGATTTTGAAATTAGCCGATGATTAATAAAATGCAGCTCATATCTGTTGCTTTCGGTGACGTGCACTTCATGAATTCTGTAGCCTATAGCCTATAGCGCGGGAATTGAAGATCAGATTATATCCGTTTAGCAAAAAGACATTTATGTGAGCAGGTGTAATGGAATCGTTTTGATAAATCAGATAGCTATCCGATCTGAGAAAACATGAAGTGGCCAGGTGTAAACAGCCCCAAAGAGACCGGCTTTTAGTTCATTCCAACCCCAACGCAAACTCCACATGAGCCAAAGAAAATACAACTTCTGTCTGTCCAGTGCCAGGCGTCGGAATAAGACGAGAGTCAACATCGGGAAGCTTTCAACAAACGGAGAGATCTCCGGTCTGCTCTAGGGCTCAAACGGGTCCTATACAAAGTAATAACTTGTATTGTTCATGAACGTGTTTCCATAATTATACAATCATACGTGGATACAGTAAGCACATAAAACAGTTCAATAAGGAAATAGATGAAAACAAAAACCGAAATTTTCTACTACCCCTGTTTTCCCCTCTCACACACAGTGTGTAATTTACTCGAATGCCTTTCCTTTCATATAACTGACCTGCAGATTTATAACTCTATTACCTCATTATGACTGTAACAAGAGATGTGTGCCGCACAGTGTGCGGCTGATGCTCCTTTGGTAATGAACAGCTCGTGAAAACCTGCGTGTGTGTGTGTGTGTGTGTGTGTGCGAGCACCCACGCAGTTTCGCTTTTCGCCAGAGGGGGCGTAGTTCTGCAAAAACTCAGATACTTGCATTTTGCTCTTTTAAAAACAAAATAAAAAATAAATAAATAAAAAAACAGTAATATTATGAAATATTATATTCCAATGTAAAACAGCTCTTTTCTATGTGAATATATAGTAAAGAATAACCTCAAAGAATCCTGAAAAACAATTGTACACAACTGTTTTCAACATATAATAATAATGAAAGTTTTCTGAGCATCAAAATATAATTAAAAATTAAATATAATAATGATTTCTGAAGGATCATGTGACACTGAAGACTGGAGTAATGAATGCTGAGACTTTGATCACAGGAATATCATTTTTAATTACATTTTGAATTACATTTTTAAGAATATTAAAATAGAAAACAGTTATTTTAAATTGTCATAATTTTTTATAATATTACAGTGTTTTTCTTCTATGTTCTTCTTTTCTTCTAGTGTTTTCAAATAAATACAGCATTGGTGAGCAGAAGAGACTTCTTTTAAAAACATTAAAAATCTTCCTGATGCAAAACTTTTGAAAGGCAGTGTGTGTGTGTGTGTGTGTGTGTGTGTGTGTGTGTGTGTGTGTGTTGTGATTTGATTGACGAAGCGAACGCAGTTTATTGAGAGCACAATCAAAAGTCATAGTCCATTAAAACAGGCAGAAGGTCAGAGGTCAGAAAACCAACCCAAACACACACATCCAGAGGGCAAGACAAGAAGGAGAAACCCAGGGATTATTCCAGAAAGCGGGGTGTGTGACAGACCCAATGGGTGTGTTTAAGGGTGAGTAAGCGGATAAGCTCAACTTTCGGCTCCACAAACAGAGGGAACGTTCAGGGTGTGTAGTAGTAGTAGATATAGCCAGCAGCCATATCACCCTGTAGCCCAAGACTGGTTGCCCACTGAAGCTAAGCAGGGCTGAGCCTGGTTAGTACCTGGATGGGAGACCTTCTGAGAAAGCCAGGTTGCTGCTGGAAGAGGTGTTAGTGAGGCCAGCAGGGGGTGCTCACCCTGTGGTCTGTGTGGGTCCTAACGCCCCAGTATAGTAATGGGGATACTATACTGTCAAAGAGCACCGTCCTTCGGATGAGACGTTAAACCGAGGTCCTGACTCTCTGTGGTCATTAAAAATCCCAGGATGTCTTTCGAAAGAGTAGGGGTGTAACCCCGGCATCCTGGCCAAATTTGCCCAGTGGCCTCTGTCCATCATGGCCTCCTAATCATCCCCATATATATATACCAATTGGCTTCATCACTGTCTCCTCTCCACCAGTAAGCTGGTGTGTGGTGAGCGTTCTGGCGCACTATGGCAGCCGTCGCATCATCCAGGTGGATGCTGCACACTGGTGGTGGTTGAGGAGATTCCCCCCTCTATGTGAAGCGCTTTGAGTGTCCAGAAAGGCGCTATATAAATGTGATGAATTATTATTATTATTATTATTAAAACATTTCCACACTGAAGGCACTCTCTGTAATTTCACTGAGGTCTGAAAAATGAAATGACTGATATCACAGAGCTGATCAGCACAGCTCCTCAAAACTATCCCACTGACTTTATCAAGCCCAGGGCTTTTATTTTTTTGGGTGGTTTGTAAAACCCTCAAAACAGAGGCTTTATCAATGTGCAGATATTCCTCTGTTTTCAAACTAAAATAAAAATCCCTAGTAATTTCATTAAAATCTTGTGTATCAAATCGCCTATAAAAGTCATTAAATTCATTATCTATCTCTCCAATAGCTATCTCTCTCAAAAGTAGCAATAATCTTTGTTAATCCATTAATTTATAATGTTTAAGAACTGTTGTAATGTTTTAGCAGTGATGCTTGTTCTCAGTGTTACTTACAGAGCGTATCTAGTTGCTGTAACCACAGGCATCAGCTTCTGAAGAACTTCATCTCCTGTGTTTTGTGGGACACTAATAGAAAATAAACAAGTTAATTAATAATGCTAACAATAATAACAATAATTCATATCATAAATAATACATTACACACTTTTTTTAATGAAACACTGCTTTATAAAGGACGTGTGTTAAAGTTGTTTAGTATCTATAACTGTAGAAGTCTCATATTCAGCAACACAGATTTGTTTTCTCTTTTTCTTATCAATGTCGTTTGTCAAGGTCAATTAGTCTACATTTACACAACAACACTAACATTTCATAATGAACTCAGATAAACTCAGTGCCGACTCGTTTTCCAGCAGTTCTTCTACATGAACTGGAATGTGTGCAAAGGATTGTGGGAGACTGAAGAACACGAAGGACACACTTGATGCATCCTTCAAAATGATCTGAATTAAAGACACAATATGAAGTCTGTCTTCAAAAGATCCTTCAAACTGAGACGGCCTTCAGAGGCGCTTGATGACGTGGCAGTCGAGATATGCAGCCTTACTAGGACACAGCCACGGTTTGAGAAACACCCGCAAATTATGGACAATATCCCAGAAATCAGTCTGAGCCCGTGATTTAAACACCTCTGATCTCTGAGTTTCTCTTTCTTCATAATGTTTTAGACTGTAATGATTGCACTCAGTGTTACTTACCCATCATTTCTGCCTCCAATAAAGTCGTTTAGGTCAAACCTCTTCAGTGTCTCCTCTGAGGACAACAACACAAACACTAAAGCTGACCACTGAGACGAGGAGAGTTTCACAGCACGTAATCCTCCACGGCTCGTATGAGGTTGAGCTTCGTTGACTAGAGAAAGATCCCCCAGTTCATTCAGACAGTGAAACAGATTGATGTATTTCTCTGGAGAGGGATTCTCCCTGATCTTCTCTTTAATATAGTCAACTGTTTCCTCATTGTTGTGAGAGCTGTTTGCTGTCTGTGTCTTTAGTTCTTGTAAGAGACTCTGATTAGACTCCACTGACAGACCCAGAAGGAAACGAAGGAAAAGGTCCAGATGCCCATTTCTACTGTGTAAAGCCTCATCCACAGCTCTCTGATGGAGATCAGATAGGGACACTTTGCCTCCATTAGTTGGTTTGGTAATCTGGTCAAACACATTGATGTTATTGTTGATAAAGGAGAGATGCACATATAGAGCTGCTAGATGTTCCTGAATGCTCAGATGAACAAAGCAGAAGACTTTCCCCAGACACAAGCCCAACTCCTCTCTGAAGATCTGAGTGCACAATCCTGAGTAAACTGATGCTTCTGCCACATCAATGCCACACTCGCTCAGGTCTTCCTCATAGAAGATCAGGTTGCCTTTCACAAGCTGCCGATACGCCAGTTCCCCCAGTTTGACGATCATGTCTTCATCTTTCACTTTCTTCTCATAGTCCTTCTCATGTTTGATGTTGGTCTGAATGAGCAGGAAGTGTGTGTACATTTGAGTGAGAGTCTTGGGAATCTCTCGTCTCTCTGCTTCACTGAACATCTCCTCTAGAACAGTGGCTGAGATCCAGCAGAACACTGGGATGTGGCACATAATAAAGAGGCTCCTTGAGGACTTCAGGTGTGAGATAATTCTTTTAGCCAATCTCTTTTTACGAATCCTCTTCCTGAAGTATTCCTGCTTCTGTGTGTCACTGAAGCCTCGTACCTCTGTCACTCGATGGACACACTCAGAGGGGACGAGATCCGCTGCTGCTGGTCTGGAGGTGATCCAGATGAGAGACGAGGGAAGCAGATTCCCCACAATGAGGTTCGTCAGCAGCTCGTCCACTGAGGCTGATTCAGTCACATCACACAACCTCACATCGCTCTGAAAATCCAGAGACAGGCGACACTCATCCAGACCATCAAAGATGAACAGCACTTTATACTCATCACTGGATATGGCCATTTCTCTGCTTTCAGGGAAGAAGCGATGAAGAAGATCTGAAAGACTGAGTGTTTTGTCCTTCATCAAGTTGAGCTCTCTGAAAGCCAGTGGAAATATGAGCTGGACGTCCTGATTCTCTTTCCCTTCAGCCCAGTCCAGGATGAGCTTCTGCACAGAGACTGTTTTTCCAATGCCAGCGACTCCCTTTGTCAGCACAGTTCTGATGGGTTTGTCTTGTCCAGGTAAAGGTCTAAAGATGTCACTGCATTTGATCGGTGTGTCCTCTGTTTCTGCTCTCCTGGACTGTGTCTCAATCTGTCTCACCTCATGCTCATTATTGATCTCTCCACTTCCACTCTCTGTGATGTAGAGCTTTGTGTAGATCTCATTCAGGAATGTTGGCTTTCCCTGCTTTGATATTCCCTCACACACACACTTCTGTCTCAGATTTGATCTCAGTGTGTTGAGGACTTCAGCAGCTTTAGAGTCATGGCTGGAAGATTACAATAACACATTATTACACAAGTCAGAGAAGTAAATAACCATAAATTACAACATTATTTGTTTGCAACACCTAAAATTATTTCCCTTCCTGCTCAGCTACCGTTCGGACGCTCCTGCTTACTGCTCCGCGCTTTGCTCTATCGCTTTAATATTTTTTATATATTTTATCTCCTTTTCACCTAATTTTAACTTCAGCAAATCAGCACAGTGCTCAGATGCTGGGATTACTTAAAAAGTACTTCACACTTTTATTCAACCAGCCTCTCACTGCTTACATTCCAGGGAAGAGAAAACACAACTCCCTACATTTATAAGGATAAGAAAATGCCTCTTCTGGAATCTACTTGCTGCTCTAACTGCCACAGACTTTTACAAAGGATTGAAGTTCTTGAAACAAAGTTAAATTCGGGACCGACAAACCAGACGGAAGGCACAACAGAGCTCCGTCATGAACGCCCTCAGCGCACAGCCGGTGAGTCCCATGAATCTAGTGCTCCTCAACAGGCTATACTGACTGTAGAGAAACAAGCCGATCGACTTACAAATCGATGGCACAAACAGGGAGCGAGACCCAAAGGCATTCGAGACATCAGATTGTCACGAGCACCACATATTTCAGCAGTAGCATCATCTACCCCAGATATGACTCTGACAAGGATTGCAACCACTGGTCTCCTACCACCGCCTATTCATCTTGAGAACAGATTCGAAGTATTAATGAATGAGGAATCCCTGAATTTGACGAATGTGATCGAACACAGACTGAGTCAGCCTGTAGCTAACACTGATGCTAACTGGCACTCAAGGTCGAGCAGACAGCGGCACTCAGCTCAGAGCACAGCGGGGCCCAGGACTCTGATAGTGGGCGACTCCATAATCAGAAACATTAGTATCAGAGATACAACTACATGCTGCCTTCCACAAGCAACAACTTCTGATGTAAACAGGGAACTTCAGAACATTCTGGTGAAACATAAGACTGCAAATCAACTCATCATTCATGTGGGGAAAAATGATATTCATAAAGAGCAGTCGGAACTCCTTAAGAAGGATTTCAATGAACTTTTTGAAACACTTAAAAGACTGAAAGTTAACACATTCATCAGTGGACCACTCCCAGCAAGAGGAACAAACAGGTTTTCACGGTTGCTTGGGCTCAACACATGGCTGCAAAAAACCTGCAATATAAAAGGAGTGAACTTTATTGACAACTTCAATCTTTTCTGGAGTCAGAGGCAACTGTTTCAACGGGATGGCCATCACCCAAACAAACTTGGTTCAAGAGTGCTAAAGGACAATATCTACTTCTCCCTCCATCATCCTTCTGCTGTGTGTGCCAATCCATTCAACCTGAATGGCACCCACACACCTGGTCATAGTATGAACGACCACAGGACTTCACTTCAGCACCTGAATGGACATATTGCTGACACATCACACAAGGACAATGATAACACCACTCAGCCACAACAACAACCTCTGCTCACGGATACAAGGGCTCGACGAGAATACTTTTTGTGCGAAAAAACAAACAAAAATAACGAGTTTATTCGACTATTCCTTTTCTTCCTTGTTGGCCTGAAACGAGACTTCCTTAGATTTCCACGACGCATGCGCGAGAATTGCGATCTCCTTCAACTACTTCAGTTCAATTCTCGCGCATGCGTCGTGGAAATCTAAGGAAGTCTCGTTTCAGGCCAACAAGGAAGAAAAGGAATAGTCGAATAAACTCGTTATTTTTGTTTGTTTTTTCGCACAAAAAGTATTCTCGTCGCTTGATAAACATATTGTCACGGGTGTGGGTGCAGGAGTGCAGGCTGACGAACAGGCAGAGATCAAGAGTTCCAATACTGAGGTTTAATCTCACGAAACAGGATACAGGTACAGGCAGGAAGACGGGTAGAAACACTCATGTAACACTGACATTCACATCGACCGACAAGGACTGAATAAAACAGAGGAAACTAAATACACAGATGAATCAAACATAACGAGGTGCAAACAGGTGAGACAGATGAAGCAGGACGCTGAACGGGAGGCTGATGAGGGAGTGAGTTCAGGTGTGCAGACGAGAGGATCATGGGAAGTGTAGTGCAGGAGACGCAGACAGGATGGTGCAGACGAAGGACTGTGACACATATAGTTGAGCCACGGTATTCACTTGGGATATTTAAACATTTTCTTCATTGACTTTCTGGGCCGTCAAGAGCCAGTCCCTTAGGCAGCCAATGTAGCAGTGATCCAGCTCTCAAATTTAATCAAAAATATCTTCCTTTGTGTTCAGCAGAACAAATAAACACATAGAGGTTTGGAACAACATGAGGGAGAGTAAATACTGACAGAATTTTTATTTTTGGGTGAACTAACCCTTTAAATCAGAATGAAGAGGGTAAAGAATCAGACACACTGATATTGATGTAAATGTGTCATTAACTGAGTAACACACCAACAGCTTTTACAGTGTGTGAATGTATTAACAATACAATACATAGAGCTTTACACAAGAGCACAATGATCATCATTAATAGACTGGAAAAAAAAATCAAATACTATAAGCATAACTTTTATATAAATGATATACCTGAGATCAGGCTGTGTGTCTCCACTCTCAAACTCTATTGGTTTCTCCATAGAGCGGTCACTATTCACAGACACACAGCTGGACTCTGGGTTTGAGCTCTTCTGCTGGACTGAACTGGTTTTCAAACTAAGTGAAATAAAAAACATCCAGACTTATAAATGTTGTGCAATTTTACAGGAATATTCTGTTTTAGGAAAGACCAGAGAGTGTTGTTACAAACTTTCTGAACAATCTTCTTAATTATAATACTACATTATATAAATGTGGAAAAATTCTCAGCGTACATTTACTTGATGTCATTGCTAGCAATAAACTGACTGACTGATGGATGTTGCTTCTAATTCAAAAATGTCAAACAAGCAACACTTTTATAGAAATGATGGTGGAGAGCAGGGCACAACCCAACACTTTTTAACTTTCTCAGTTTGTGTAAATACACTTGGGGTTCAGAGTATTTATTTCGCCCATTAATTTCACAGGTCTAGAACAATTATGTGGTTTTGTTTCATTAATATAGTGAGTACTTTTTTTCTTTATTTCCACTGAAAGAATGGAAGTGAAGTGTGACAACATGCCCCATAGGTAAGGCACATCATAACACGACCATATGAGAGATTAAAATATTATCTTATCTGATCAGAAAAAATATACAAGACAAACTAAAATATTTTGTCAATAAAATACAATTCGTGAGCTTAGAATTATAAGGTTCTATCTCCGTTTAGGGTAGTTCTGAGATATTGAGCATCAAAGTTTTTACATCCCACCCACTAAACATTGGACGTCGGATAGACGTGCAGATCATGTCTATATTGGGTCCGTCGGTCCATGACCAATTGTGGACGTCTATTCGACGTCCAAACTAGGTCTGTTATTTGGACGTCCAACCATGACCCAACTTGGACGTCATCTTGACGTCCAACATTTGACCTTAAACTGGGTAACTTTTTTTTGGACGGCATTTGGACGTCTTTTGACAGTTGCTGGAAATTATTGATTTGTTTTATTTTTATTTTTTTATTTATATATAAATAGGCCCCCCTACAATGAAAATAAAATCAAAAGCAAATATGGTATACAAATATCATAGAACTAAAAAATTAGTTTTAACTTCATGATTTAATATTAATGACATTATACATTATTATAAGATGTTTTTCTTAATGCTGCGTGCGTGCCTTTGACGCGCGTGCGCGTAAACATTCAAATCACAGGAGCGCGCGAGCAGTTTGAATTGAAACAGGAAGCGTCGTGCCGTCGTCAACTGACAAACACCAACTAGCGTCTCTCGCTGTTGTCACTGCGTTCAGGTAAGTTAAGTTAACAAAATCACACAAATACTACATAAAAATGTTCCTGACACCTTTATTGCGTGTAATTGATACGCTTCTGTTGAATATTTACTTTATAGAAATGATTTTGGGTCTTCGAAAAAGTCCGTTAGCATCTCAATCGTTTTCAGAAGAGGCTAGCAGCTAAGTTAGCTAAGGTAAGTTACTCTGAAGCTGTTTTGTATAAGTTTGGGGTTTTATCTTTGTGTAGATAATAATTTTTGATAGTTTTTTTGCTGGTAATTTACAATGGGTGATTGGAAGTAACGTTAAGCTAATTTATTTAGCCTAAAATTATGCGATGTATTATTAATCAGTGACGTCACTTAACGTTACAAAGATTGATTAAAAAAAGTGATTTCATGAGGAAAAAACGTCCACAATAAAAGGGGGATTTATTGTTTATTCATGATAGTAATGTCATATGCATTTATTTAATAATATTTATGTATATACTTTCTCTTTTCTTAGCTAGAGGAGAGGTGAAATGCATAAAAGAGAAATTATATATGCTTGCTTCCATGTAATAAACCCTATGTTCTAATCCTATGTAACATTGTTGGCTGTGACACATTGCATGTTATTTTCTAAGATCATGTTGATGTCCTAAGTTGCTGCACCCCCTGTCCAAGACAATCTCCACGGCTATGAACTCGACTAACGTTAGTAAGCAAAACCTCAAACATACTGTACTCTACTGTTCAAAAGTTGTAGGTCTGTAGGATTTATGCTTTTGAAAGAAGTCTTAACCCCAGTTTTTTTTTTTTTTTTTTTTTTTTTTTTTTTTTGTGAGATTGTCCTTAAGAAGCCTTTAGGCTAAATAATCAGCTAAATAATAGATGGCAAATATCATGTTATAAAGGTCATAATTATAATAATGAATTTAACTATTATGATAACAGAATATCATGGTCATTGGTATTTTTATTTTATTTCTCTAGGTGTGTTTTGAAATAAGTTGTCCAATGAGACATCGTACTGTCCAACTCAAAGGTATTTATTTATTTTTATGTATTTTTTTACTGATAAATACTGAAATTCTTTTTACTTTTAAATGCTGAATTCAGGGGGTCGACAACTTTAGGTACGCAAGTTATTTTTCACAGATATCTGGCCAGTTTACTCATGGCTCATACTCTTAGCCTTTATGTTTAAATGTTTGAATTTATATCTGCAATAGAATATTTGCAATATTAACCCTATCAGGGGGTAAAGATATCATTAGAGTTCTTTAAGGAGTAGTTCACTTTTGAAAGCTTTTGCTGATAATTAAATTTACTCACCCCCATGTCATCCAAGATGTCCATGTCTTTCTTTTTTCAGTCAAAAAGAAATTAAGGTTTTTGATGAAAACATTCCAGGATTACTCCAGTATTTTCTCCATATAATGGAGTTCAATGGGAACGGTTCAAGGTCCAACTGAGAGTTTCAGTTCAGCTTCAAAGGGCTTTAAAAACACCAGACAATGAATAAGGGACTTATCTAGCGAAACGATCGCTCATTAATAAATAAATAAAAAAGTTTAAGTTTTATGAGCACAAATGCTTGCCTTGCTCTGTTCTGTGATGAGCGTTCGTGACTATCCTCTTTGAACTCGTTCATCAAAATGAACTAATCTTTTTTCGAGTCATGACTCAAAGGGTCCTTGATAAGACCCTTATTCATCATCTGGAATCGTTTAAAGCCCTTTGAAGCTGCACTGAAACTGTCTTTTAGACCTTGAACCGTTTGGTTCCCAGTAAAGTCCATTATATGGAGAAAAGTCCTGCAATGTTTTCATCAAAAACCTTAATTTCTTTTCGACTGAAGAAAGAATGACATGGATTTCTTAGATGACATGGGGCAGAGTAAATTATCAGCAAAAGCTTTTTTTTATTTATTTTTTTAAATTTGAACTACTCCTTTAACCCTTCAAAGTCTGACTGATTAAATCATATTTGAAAGCAAAGTTAAAAGTAACAGATCTCAATATTATTCTCCTCTCATGGCATAAAGGTGAGTCAGTACAAACTGTTATACCTCTGGGTATGAATGAGTTCCTGTGGTGGTCCTTATTACTTTGAAGTTGAAGTAGCCTTCAACTGAAAACAGTCTGCTCTGACAAATAGTTGATGTGTTGTATTATCAGGGATACTCCACTTTGTCTGGAAATTGGCTAATTTTACAAATCCCTCAGAGTTAAACAGTTGAGTTTTACTATTTACGATTTTCTGATATTTAGAAGAGTATCAGTAACCAGACAGTTTCTGGTCCCATTGACTTCCATAATATATGTTTTTCCCACTATGGAAGTCAATGAGAACAGAAACTATCTGGTTACTGATATACTCTTCTATATATCAGAAAATTTGCTGAATGATTTAGAAAATGGTAAAACCCAACTGTTTAACTTTAGGGGAGTTGTACAATGAGCCTATTTCATAAAAAGTGGAGTATCCCTTTAATCCCTTTTTTTTTTGTGCAAAATTATTCTCAATAGTAATTTTTATTGAGTCCAATGTGTTTCCAAGTAGAGCCCTGCGCAGGACTATTTTCCTCACCCCGCCGAATCTCTGACCATTACCGCCCGCTCCCGCAACGGATGTTACACTCCCGTGGGACCCGGCGGTACTCAATCCCAATGCAGCCCTCTACCAAGCACAAAGCTAACTTTTGTAAATTGCACAAAGCACAACAGGTTGATACAACTGAACATTATTACAAACTGTTATTTCAGTGTTTTAAGTAATTTATAAGTAGTTGATGATGAACTAATCATATACAAAACATTCATAAATATTTAGCAAGTGATATGCTAACACTTCATGTTTGTTTTGTAAATTATTAAAAGTCATTTACAATTGAATAGTCGTGTTTTGTAAATTATTAATCATTACGTTTCATAAATGTCAGGTGCCTAGTGGTTAGACTCCTTGTGTTTTAGAGAAGACAGCTGTCTACAACCTCACTAGTCAGCAATTACACTGCAGTACACACTACAGTGTTCAACACCTGTTATAGATGTGTAAAGGCATGAATTAATCATTTACACTTTCTGCATAAAGTGTGAACTATTCATCACTTGTAAATGTCTTACACTTCATTCGTAGATTACCACTTCAAGAATCAATAAGGCATAAGATCTACGCATGCTTTGTAACACATTTACTAGCGATTACTATACACTTTAGATTAGGGGAAACAGAAAGTGTTGTAAATGACTTATTCATGCATTTACACACTGTTAAAAACTGTTACTTACCTGTTTCAAATGATATGTACATGAATACAAGACATTTACAACACTTTCCCCCTCTAATTGCTAGATGCATACATTATTATTTTTTTCATTTATGAAACGTATATTCATGTTTTATACATTAATAATTTACTAATAACTTGTAAATGACTTGTAACGGAATTGACAAAACATTCATAAATGATTAGCAAATGATACTAATATTTTCAAAGTAGTTCATTAACTAACCACTTACAGACTTACAACTGAACGTTATTATAAGGTGTTGACAATGGTCAACATTCTAATGCACACATTAAAGAATGCAAGCTTTCTAAAAAAAAGTGCAGTCTGCTTAGTGCCTCTTTGTAGACAGCCTAAGTGTTAGTTAACAGTTGCTGAGATGGCTTAGTATTTATCCAGTAATGGATGCAAGGAAACATATTTTTGCTTACAAATGTGGGGCCTTTGGTGAATGATTGCAGATTGCCGTTGCATATATCTAAATCATATATTTTTCTGCTTGTGTAGGAGGGATCATGAAATTTGATTCTGCAGCCACAGAGAAGTAAATCAAGATGCATGTTTCTGAGCACCTCAAGCACGCGCCGCAAAGATTGGAGGTAGAGGATTCACAACTCCCTGATGAGCCAAGACGAGAGGACTTGAATTATAAATTAAATTACAATCTAGTTATTTGTTCATAATTGTGCTTTACTGTGGCCCTTCAATGACAATCTAATTATTTGTTCATAATTAAATTAAATTACAATTTTACACTACAGTGTTCAACACCTGTTATAGATGTGTAAAGGCATGAATTAATCATTTGCACTTTCTGCATAAAGTGTGAACTATTCATCACTTGTAAATGTCTTACACTACATTCATAGAGATCTACTAACTAATTATTTGTTCATAATTGTGCTAGATATATTTGGTGCCCTTCAATTGCAATCTAATTATTTGTTCATAATTAAATTACAATCTAATTATTTGTACATAATTGTGCTTGATATGTCCGGTGCCCTTCTGATGCTATTCATGGCAATTTATTTTTGAATAAAGATTAAAATGGTGATTATTGAATTGTGATTTATTTGTATGTGTATTACTGTAATGTTGTAAAGTTATATAAGTTAGAAAAACGACGTATAATATAAGTCTAAATTTGACGTTGAAAAGACGTCCATAAGTAACCACATTTGGACTATAAATAGCCCTTACACGGAGGTCCCACAGACGTCCAAATTAGACGTGCAGTTGACGTCGAAAAAAAGACGTCGTCTGGTGTTACAAAACAACCCCTTCATTGGACCGAATTTGGACGTCCAAAAATGACACGAAAAAGACGTCACATCGACGTCACGTTGCGCAGTGGGCAGCTGGCAAAACTGTTATGTACTATAATCTTCTATTATAGCTTTATCTATTAATCTATTTTTTTTAACAAAAATAACACCACACAGGCATTAATAAACACCTAATGGATCATATTATGTCAAAAACTCAATTTTGACCAAAAGTGAAGATAGAACCTAATTCTAAGCTCACGAATTATTAATTTTTCATATAAAATAATAATGATTGCTGTATATTAATAAAAATTTCATAAAATATCAAATACTATAAGCATAACACAGAAGTGATATACCTGAGATCAGGCCGTTTGTCTCCACTGTTAAACTTCATTGGCTGACCCATAGAGTGGTCACTCTTCACAGACACACAGCTGGACTCTGGGTTTGAGCTCTTCTGCTGGACTGAACTGGAACAGAGAACAGATTCAGTTTAATCCTCTACATTACTCATCAGATCATTTGATCTTTGTGTATGTGTGTGTGTGTAAATATTGAACAGTGTTAGTTGAAAGTACCTGTGTCCTTGAGAGAAATCTCCATCTCTGGATGCTTGTGAACACACAATATTAAATTATTAAATAACATTCATAATAATTCTGGAGTGTGTGAGAAAAATGATCATGTGACTGTGTTAACTGAAGCCAGACCCGGCTCCCACCCAATCAGAAGCTTGGCCCACCCAGGCCCCACACCAGGACTTCATGAAGCCAGAACATGTGTTGTGGATAATAAGAATATTAACACTCTTTTAAAGGTTTCCAATGATGACAGTACATCAGTTGACTTTTCAAAACCTTGCTACTCTCTCAGCTGAAGCGACGCCATTATTTTAAAAATTGGCAAATTTCTGATTCATCTTCTGGCCGTTTTAAAAGCAGCAAACGTCATCCTACAGTCTCAGCATGTTGATTTGAGCAGTGCAGCTGAAGTTGTGCAGGGATGTCTTGGTTCACTGTAAATCTCAGAGAAAATGGCAGTGGATTTCAGCAGTCCGGCGCTGACATGTCTACTGTTGAGCTCTCACCAAACCCTGGAAGGACTGTGAACCCCTCCTATGGGGACTCTGGCATTGCTTCAGCTTTAGGGCAAGAAGGGTCCACTTCTGAATCTGCCACTGAAGCTCTGAGACGACACATGTTGAACACACTAGATACAGCTGTATCAGAGATAGAAAACAGGTTTACACAGCTGATGCAATCCTCTCAGGTGTAATGCCGAAATCCAACACATTTCTGGACATCCAGTTGCTTGAGGCTCTCTGTAGTCTTGCAGGGGTTGCAGAAAATGAACCGAATGAAATTCTTGTTGCCACACCAATGCTGTCCAAAAAACCTCCATCGGATGCTGAATGTCCTGCTGTTTGCAAACAGGTTGTACTTCTTTAGTTTCTGCATTTAAAGTATACTACTAAGTTTCCAATTAGCTTATAGTATTTATGCTTGAAATAAACCATTAACTGTACTTTAAGCATGCAGACTTGATGTTAACTTGCATGTAAAAATTATTTAATAAAAGAGTAAACACAAGCACAAGCCAAGAACACTTAAACTTTCAGTATTCAGAAAGAATACTGTTCTTTAGTATATCTTGATCAAATGATTAAGTACAAGTATACTTTGACTTTTCTGTATACTTGTCAGTATAAGCCAAGTATACTTAAGTATAATTTTGTTAAGTATATATCTGAAAAGTATGTTGAAAGTAGACTGAAAGCACACTATCTTATTTTTAGTTTAAAACAAGTATTCTAATAGCACACTTGAATAAACTTATTTTTCGTAAGGGTAAAAAAAATACACAGTTACAAAATATACACAAAAAATATTAAAAATGAAAAAACACAAACAAACGCAAAAATAACAAACCTACCAATTGCCTTAAATGTGTGATATTAAACTAGATCAATAGACATGAGAGACTAAAGCGTTAAAGAACACGTTGATAATCTTATTTGTTTTTGTTTTCTTTCGTAGACTATTGTATTATTATATCGAAATGGCGATAGGAGAACTAGTTTCACTTTCTGTGTGTGTGTGTGTAAGTTTATTGGCGTTTAACTGTGTGTTAAATCACAAACATCACGAAACACGAAACCTTGAATCAAAAAAAGTAACCCTTTATAAAGATTTCGTATCAAACAATCAAGTAAAAAGTCCTCCAGAGATTCATATTTAACGTTAACGTTATATGAGGAAGTCACGAACACTCACCTTGATCAAACTAGTTTTACAAGATACAGGATCTCAAATCCTCCAGCTTTCACATTATAAAACTACACGGAAGTTTATTCTTAAACGTTGATAAACAAGTTGATGCTCTGTTTGTTTTCCGGGTCGTATTCCTATTTTTCCTGCTTAAAATGGCGGATCAGGTGTTACAGGCGCGGCTTGCGCATTTCCTGTGCAGATGTTAGACAGCGACTATGCAATGTGTGGGTATTCGCAGATTATTTTTATAATGACAATTTGTGGCTTAATTTAAATTGAGGAATAGCCAAGACAACTGTGGATAGGGACATGTTAACATTTATTTATTTTAATAATTAGTGCACGCGCGCGTCCCCATATAACATCCTCATCAACAGAATTACTTTCACTTTCAATGTATGACGTGAGAGAGAGAGAGAGAGAGAGAGAGAGAGAGAGAGAGAGAGAGAGAGAGAGAGAGAGAGAGAGGCGCGTAAAAAGAGACGCGCGTTCACGAGAGCGTGTACGTGAGTATTGTAGTTGTGTGAACGTTTTAGATAAAGTGGTATTACTATGTTGATACAATTAGAATGCATAACACGTCAAATGAAAATAGGGAAATGATGATAATATTACTAAATATTATTTACTTCACTAAACAAAATGGTCATTATGGGAAATTCATTTTTAGTTTTGTTGATGTTAAATGTAATGTATGTATTATATGTGTGAAAGTGTTAGATATCATGAATCAGTAACACTTTAATATTTCATTAGTTAAATAAGTTAACATCATGAACTGCACTTCTACAGCATTATTAATCTTAGTTAGGGCTAATATTAATTTCAGCATGTACTAAAACGTTAAAATCAAAAGTTGTATTTGTTCTTATTAGTTAATGCACTGACTGTGACATAACATGAATAAATAATTAGCCTAACAGTTGTATTATTAACTAAGATGAACAAATACAGTAACAAATGTGTTGCTCATGGTTCATACATGAATAATGAACAAATGAACCTTATTGTAAATCGTTACTATCAAATCAAAGATATAAATTCCTTACAATTTAGAGTTGGACACGGACTTAAGATTTCATTTAACTCGATGTGTGACATATTAGATCTGTTCTACATATATGAGGTTATGAGGACATCTAGTGGTCATCTGTCATCATGTCAGAAAGAGAGCACAAGTTGCTAAACACAGCAGGGAGACTGCAGAGGTCAAGCTGAAAACGTCTGACATATTCTGGACACAAGATGGCGCCACTGGGCAAGAAAGCACTAAATTGTGTGTCCAAAGGACAGAAATACAAAATCCTGCTGGAAATAATGAAGCATGATGCACCTGTCATTCTAGGACGATCTGCATGTCAAAAATGGGCATGATTAAAAGACTGTCTGAAACTGAAAAGAGCAGAGACATTCTCCAGGATTGTGGCGATCTATATGAAGGACTAGGCTGTTGACCAGGAGAACACCACATACAAACTGATCCAAATGTCAGAGCAGTTGTGCATGCGCCAAGAAGGAGACCTGTAGCTCTGCGAGAGAAAGTGCTTGAAGAACTACAGAGAATGGAGCAGATGGGGGTCATCGCAAAGCAAACTGAGCCGACTGAATGGGTCGACAGCATTGAACCTGTAGTTACATTCAAGAAAACGCACATTTGTGTGGATCCTAAAGATCTGAATCTGGCAATAAAAAGAGAGCATTATCCAATGCTGACAGCAGAAGATGGACTCAAGAATGCCGAATGCAAAGTACTTTTCTGTGCTAGACGCGAATCAAGGGTTTGGGCAGATAAAGCTGGATCATGAAAGGTCAAAGCTTTGCACAAGCAACACACCAATTGGGCGATAGCGTTTTCTTAGGTGACCTTTCGGTATATCATCAGCGTCAGAAGTCTCTCAGAGATCCATCGCACAAATGACAGAAGGACTGGAAGGTGTGGTAAATCTCATCCATGACTTGCTGGTGTGGGGAGATGCCATTCAAGAGCATGAGGAACGGCTAATAAAGCTGCGGGAATGAGCAAGAAAAAACTATTGAAAGCTGAACAGGAACAAGTGCAAAATAAGACTGACGAGATCAGACACATCGGACACATACTGAGTGCTCAAGAGTTAAGCCAGACGGAGGAAAAGTAAGGACTGAAATTACACCGCCAGAAAGCAAGAACGGCACAGATTTCTTGGAATGGGGCGATATCTGGCAAAGTTCATTCCCAATATGTCTGACAGAAGTGCAGCGTTGAGGAGATTGCTGGAGAAAGACACAGAGCGGCACTGGGAGGATGATCAACAGCAAAGGTTTGAAGAACTGAAATATTTGGATACTCAAAGTCCTGCTTTGAAATCTCTGACGTGAGCAAACCCAGTTCAGGAGGAACAGGAGCTGTGATTCTGCAAGAAGGAAGGCCAGTGGCTTACGGCTCCACAGATCTGAACCACCGGCAGCGTAGACACACACACACATTGAGAAGGAGTTGTTGGCCATAGAAATCTCACCAGTATGTGTACGGACAGGAGATCATGATTGAAAGTGATCACAAGCCATTAGAGAGTATATTTAAGAAGCCGCTGCATCAGGATCCTATGAGATTACAAAGAGTGCTTTTACGGCTACAGAGAGACAATCTGAAGCTGATGTACAAACCTGGTCAGGAACTATACATAGCAGATGCTCTAAGTCCAGCATATTTACACCAACAGAAGGAAAATCTGCTGGAAGAGGATCTAGCGCTGAACTGGATTACGGCACAACTTCCTATTTCAGAAGAGAAACTGATGCTTTCAGAAAAGCAACAGCAGAGGATGCAGAGATGCACATGTTCAATAAGGCAGCGCTGAATGGATGGGCCAAAGAATGATCTATGATGACAAGATCAATACACAAATACTGGACATATCCAGAGGAAATCAGTCATGAAGATGGTCTGTTATTGAAAGCAAATCAGCAAATGATCAACCAAATACACGAGTCACACCGGGGAATTGTCAAATGTACGGCAAGAGGAGAGACATTTTGTCCTGGCCAGGTGTGTCGACACACACTGAGATCAGTCTCCAGATGTCTACAAGACTCATCCTGTGACATACATTCTCCAACTCATCTGAAGAACTGTTTCTTGAGGCCGTCTATCCAGATTTCCATCCATAACTGTATTAAAATCACCTCCCCATATAATCTTGGCAGTAGGAAAAGTTGTAATCAGCTGGATAATTTTGTCTTCTACTGTTGTAAATAATAACTTGTTGTCTTTTTTGTTGTTACACGCATATATGTTTATAATAATGAATTGGGAATGATCTGCATCACCAACCAGTATTACCCATCTCCCACTTGAATCTGCTTAATGTTTAAAGTTTCCCTGTAAAATAGCGACCCCTGCTGACCGGTTACTCCCAAATGAAAACCATATATTTTTCCCCCATTGACTCTTCCAAAAAGAAATATCCGAATTAGAAGCACGAGTCTCCTGTGTAAAATAAAAATCAGCACCTTTGTTTTGAAGAAATAAAAATAAACATTTCCTTTTCAATGGGTCTCTAACAGCTCTGGCATTTACAGAAAAAACAGATACAGACATAAAAACTCAGAAACTGTATGAACTTCTTTGCAAAAACTGCAGAGATTCTGCTCTAATGTAATCAGGAGCTGCTTCAATGTCCCTTATAGACCCCTTTTGTGCCGATGTCACAGTTACGTCACGGCGCTAGCTGGAGGCAAAACAAGTGAAAACTGGAGGCGGCCAATACAAACCAGCACAGATTCGGCTACATAATAAGGAGCTTAAATTATTGTTACTATTATTAAACGTCATCTTGTTGTGTTTGGTGCAAGAATTGATTTCTTTTATTTCTAGAAAATATTCACATGATTAAAATCGCACTGTAATCATTCTTTATATTGTCGTGGTCTCAGCAGAACTAGGGATCGTACACACAAGTCTTGTACAGGACCATATAGGCATCTAAAGATTTATATGCCCTCAGTTTCTCTTTACGATGGGTTTCTCTATAAGGTAGGTGTAGAAGTCAGGCCACTCAACCGAGGTAACGTTCGTTAATCCTGTCAGATCGTCCATGCATTGAGTGAGCGTGTAGGCGGCTACGGGTCGGCCAATCGGGGTCATTCTAAAACGCTTACCAAAACCAAAACTCACCCAGAGCTTTACAATGTACCCAGATATTATCCAGAACTGGCCCAAAACAACGCCGTAATCCCCATATGTCAGCCAGACAAAAGCCAAACGGACACCACCTTTAGGCCAGAACTCAGACACATCTTATCCAGAAGCTGCAGAAAACAGACACAACTGGGCCAATATTATACCACAGTCCCCAAAACTGAACCAGAAAGTATCCCTGTGTAATACTTTTTATATTGTTCAAGGAGTAATAAAAAAAGACACGGAAAAACAGACAGACGGGCGGAAAAGAGGGACATAAAGACAAACATAGACCGAGAGATGGACAGACACGGAAAAGACAGACGCTTTAAAACCCTTTTTAAAACAAAAACACCAATACAAAATAAAAATGCGCTAAACATACTTTATTTTAAACACAAACAAACAAAGAAGAAAATGGCCAATAGAAATAAATGGAGGATTTGTTCAGAAATGATCCTGGAGTTCACCTGTGGAGAGAGAAGTGGTTTGAGAAAGTTCATTAGTGGTATTGCCTCATAACAGCAGATACACAGTCAAACGCTTCGGGAAAGACGCTCGGCACAGTTACTTCTATTGCTCTCCCTAAACACACACAAAACACTCGTCTTAACCTACACTTCATTATTGTGCCTATTAACCATACATTTAGTCTAAGATGTCCATTTACACGACACCGTTTCCAACTAAAAACGGATCAAGTTTTTGAAACGGTCTCTGTGTAAACAGCAAAAACGCCAATCTCTGAAAATGATGATGTCATGCGTATTGTGTTCAGATATAGCAGGGATCTCAAACAGTTTTTCATTTGAGAGCTACTTTTTAAAAACGAAAGAGGCCGAGAGCTACTCATGTAATACACTACTTAAATCTCTTACATAATCTCATGACTCATTAAAGATCTCAGAGAGGGCAAAGGTGGAAGCTGCCAGCTTCAGTGATTTCAGCCTGAGAAAGGGCATCACTGAACAAACAGCACAGCAGTG